AGAGCGGGGTGGGGGGGGGGGGGCAGAGTGGAGACTGGGGGCTGGAGGAGGGGCTGAGAAGAGGAGGGGTGAAGAGCCAGAGACAGGGCAGAGCCGGGGGGAATAGAGGGGAAGAAGGAAGGAAGAAAAGAAGGACCCGGAGAGGGAGAAGAGAAGAGACCTTGTGTCATAGAATCATAGAATACTAGGACTGGAAGGGACCTCGAGAGGTCATCGAGTCCAGTCCCCTGCCCCTATGGCAGGACCCAGCACTGTCTAGACCATCCCTGATAGACATTTATCTAACCTGCTCTTAAATATCTCCAGAGACGGGGATTCCACAACCTCCCTGGGCAATTTATTCTGGTTAAATTACCCTGACAGTGAGGAAGGTTTTCCTAATGTCCAAGCTAAACCTCTCTCGCTGCAGTTTAAGCCCATTGATTCTTGTCCTGTCCTCAGAGCCCAGGAAGAACAAGTTTTCTCCCTCCTCCTTGTGACACCCTTTTAGAGACCTGAAAACCGCTATCCTGTCCCCTCTCCATCTTCTCTTTTCTAAACTAAACAAACCCAATTCCTTCAGCCTCCCTTCATAGGTCATGTTCTCTAGACCTTTCACCTTTCTTGTTGCTCTTCTCTGGACCTTCTCCGATTTCTCCACATCTTTCGTCCTCTCCTCTAATGCTGCCGGGGGGCCAGTGCAGGGACATGGGGGGAGGCGATGTAGGGGGCTGATGCTATTTCACCCTCTCCCCCAGGTTGATTGTGAGCAAGCCGGAGAGGAAGCTGGTGAAGGGCTCCGGGTTCCACCTGGACCTGCTGCTGATCGTGGGCATGGGAGGCCTGGCGGCGCTCTTCGGCATGCCCTGGCTCAGCGCCACCACGGTGAGAACCATCACGCACGCCAACGCCCTGACGGTGATGGCCAAGACCTCCACCCCTGGGGAGAAGGCGCAAGTGCAGGAGGTCAAGGAGCAGAGGCTCAGCGGGCTCCTGGTCTCCATCCTTGTCGGTGAGTCCTTGGGCCCCGCCCCAGCCACCGGGCTGGGATGAGGGGGGCGGGAGCCCGGCACGGATTCCACCCCGGCAGGCCGCGAGTTCGGCAGCATTGGCTTTGGCTGGGATGGTTTCCCAGGGGTTGTGGCCTGGCTCCTAGCAGGCCCAGCCTGGGTGGCAGGTGATGCAGGCAAGGGGAGGCATTGCCTTTCCTCGCTGAACGGGATCCAGCTCTACGACCGCATCCTCCTCATGCTCATGCCCCCCAAGTACCACCCTGACGAGCCCTATGTCAGGCGGGTGAGGGCGCCGCTCCTCTTTCCTTCCTTGGCTGGGGGGCGGGGACAGGCGCTCCCAGCTGAGGGGGAGCACAGGGGACGGGTCCTCCTGCCCTCTCGGCTGTCAGGCGTTGCAGACAAGAGGGTGTTGGGACCTCACCGCTCCGGTCTGTGTGGTCCCCTCAGGCTTACGTGACCACAGAGCAATTTCCCAGGAGGCCTCGGGGGTCCCTGTTGGCCCCTCTGAGCCTGATCAGACTGTGCACGGACCCTTCAGGGGCCCGCCCCGACTCCTGGACTGGCCGCAGGGCCGGACAGAGCCTAGCGTGGCTGCCTCTCGTTTGACCCCGGCGTAGCCTGGGCCAGGCCCCGCACGTGCTGACTCGCAGCGCTGGGGTGAGCGCGTGGCCCAGCCCAGCCCGAGGCCGCTGGGAACACAAGCAGCACTGGGCAGAGAGGCGGAAAGACCAGCCCGCTCCTTCCTCCAAGGCAAACAGGGCGTGAACCCTCCTCCGCCACGCTCACCCTCCCGGAGACACTTCCTGTCCCCGGAGACCGTCCCCTCCCAGCCCTAAGCTCCAGGTGCCCCCTGCGTCCCCAGCTGTGAGGACGAGTTCAGGTCTGGGGAGCAGCCGGGAGCTCCCCATTCCCCTCACGGCCCGAGTGTGGGATGCAGGGTGTGCCTGTGGCACCACACGCTCACCCTCCCGGAGACACTTCCTGTCCCCGGAGACCGTCCCCTCCCAGCCCTAAGCTCCAGGTGCCCCCTGCGTCCCCAGCTGTGAGGACGAGTTCAGGTCTGGGGAGCAGCCGGGAGCTCCCCATTCCCCTCACGGCCCGAGTGTGGGATGCAGGGTGTGCCTGTGGCACCAGCTCCCTGATGGTTCGGGGGGGGGGGGCGCGTGCCCCCAG